TTCCAAACATTTTTTCACTCATTGTAGGAATCGAACCCAAGATTTTTAATATACAAACTCAATCCTTAAGTACTAAAATGTTTCCATCTTAAACTAAGGGTTGTTTGGTACAGTGATTAAAATTCAATAGATATTGAGTAACAGATAACAGATAATGGATAGTAGTAATAGGTAATGAATAACCGTTAGTAGATAGCGAAAAGTAGGTAGCAGATAGTAAATAACAGATTTGATAGATATAATTGTTTGGTTATACAATAGTTGACGGTTGTTGTTTAATATTAAATGACTAATAATGACATATTTAAAAATAACTAAATATATTTTTTTCTAAATATTTATTATTTATTATTATTAAAATTATTATTTTTTAATTATAAATTAATGTAAAAAATAAAAATATTATAATCACTTAATGTTCTTAAAGGTAAAAGAACAAAATTGAAATTTATTATATAAATATTAATTAAAAATTGGGACTAAAAATAAAAAAATTAAAATGGATAAATTTGCCAATAAAATTAAAAAAAATTCCAATTCATTAATTGTTTGGTACAAAAAGCTATCAAAACTAGGTTTTACAATCCGCTAGTGGTTTGGATCCTAATTGCTATTCGTTAATTCTGAATTGTTAAATAAAATTTTTTACCGAATACCTTGTTTGTAGTGGTTTTGAAATATATAAGTTTACCAAATACTTATACTTAGTGGTTTAGACAAAACTGCTATACTAAACGGGTTCTAAATTATATATATGATAGTGTAGATTATGTCATTCTTCTAAATTTTCTTTTTGAAAAATTTGTCTAAAAATTCACTTTTTAATTTTTAAAAATTAACCATTAAATTAAAAATTTTATTCATGTAAATCATGATTGTTATTTTTTATGTTAATTTAATACTTATAATTCTTTAATAAAAAAAATTATATTTACTAACATGTATTTAACTAAGAACGAAACTAGAAATTCAAGTTAGGGTGCAAAAAGTTAAAAATTTTTATGAGTTATTTATTAATTCACATTAATATAATTTGTATTAGTGTTTATATTGCTCACTAATTTCGTGTGTATAGCACTTAAGTTATGCATGTAAAATTTTAAATTAATTAGATATATTTAGCTTTATTAAGAAAATTGGATATATTTAGCTATTTTAAAATTATATATTCTTTAAAACTCCTAAATAAATAATATAAAAATATAATTTATTTTTTTTGAATAGTTACCTATATCGAAACAACTTTAAATTTGAAATATATGATTTACATGAATTAATAAAAAAAAAAGAGAAATGAATCATTTACCTAAATCCTAAATATTTTTTTTTTATATTTGAAATGGTCCTAATAATTCAAAAACTCAAAAAACAAAATTTTGTACAAAATAAAAATAATGTATCATATTTGAAAATTTTCAAAAGCTCAGGGGGGCAACTGCCCCCTTTCCTACACGGGCTCTAACCCTATATTTATGTAGTATTAAATTTTTTATAATTAATGAAGTAGTTAGATGTATTAAAATAGTTTAAAAATTAATATGTAAAATTTATATGAACAGAATTTTAAATTTAACAATTAATTTTTAAAAATATTAATTAAAAATAAAATTTTAAATATATCTTTTAAAAAAAATTAAGAGTACAATGTACAATATACTTTATATATATAATAATATATATTATTATATAAATATAATTTGTAAAATTTATATTTTTATATAAAGTTAAAACCAACAGTTGTCCCTTTATTATTGAAAAAATTTAATTTAAACCT